CATCTCTGCATAATCAATACTGTATATAACATTGTATCTTCCAAATCTAATTATAAGCTTCTTAAGGAAAGAAAGTGGTTATTGACTTGTACCTATCATATATCCTTGAACAGAGCAAATGCTTAATAATTATCTGATAAAAAGTTATACTACATACTGTAAACTAGAATTAATATTTTTGGGGCAGCAACTAATGCTATGTGTTTTCATGTCTTTTAGATATTCTACATTCCTTAAAGTATTGAACTATTTGCCATAGATCTACAACTATTATCTTCTTTTAAACCCTGATCATGTTCAGTACAATGTGCAACACAAACTTTACAAACCTTACATCTGGCTAGGCATAAGCTTTTAATTTTTAAGCTTAAAATAAATGTGAGAAATATATGTTGTGGTTTTTAGGAAGATATTCAGCGTATCTCAATCAACAATAAATACCACAGTTTAGGCATGGAGCACAGGCAGAGAAATAAGTATTGCACATTTACTCGCAAAGCTCTTAAAGGCTAATGTAGAAATCAACATCAAACATGAAGTTTGTGACTTAAAAAATGGCATGCATGCAAAGTAATTCAAAAGAGCAGCATAGATAGATCAGGGAGCTGCAAGGCAGTTTTGTGAAGGTGACCCAGCCTGAGCACATAAAAGTTAGTGGTAAGTTAGTGTCTGTACAAATTTTTTTTTTAAATTCCACTTAAATTCCTGAAGACAAGATCAGTATTTTATTGATCTTTGGGCTCCTATCCCTAAGGACTGACAAAAGCAGTGATTTGAACCTCTGATTAGCCAAGGCTTGTCTTAGTGAAGTGCTAGAAACACAGCAGTGAACCACACAGGCAAAGTCCCTTTACTTGTTAATCTTGGGGGAAAAAAAGTCAATAAATGTTTGTTGAAATATATATATGAGTTTCTTTAAGAGTTTGAATTTACCAGGTTTTAATTTTGTTTTGGGGAAGCACGTGCAAGGCTGCCAAAGTTACCTTCAGGAGAAAAAGGAAACTTGTATTATAGTGGAAGAAACTACCTGATTTTGTTGTTGTCATTGGTCCTAGGGATTGTACTCAGAGCTGCTTAAGTCATAACCCCAGTCCTTTTGCTTTTAGTTTGTTTTTTAGAGATTCTTATGTTTTTGCCCAGGCTGGCCTCAGATCATGAGACTCCTACCTCTGCCTTCTCAGTAGCTGGGATTATAGGCCCATGTACCACATCTGGCTGACTTTTTTTTAATGTCTTCATAATATAAAGAAAAGACATTAATTTCTGTTATTAACTGAGGTTTATAACTGTTATTAAATGTCTTTAAAGTATAACTTAAAAGTACTAAACAAAACAAAAACTACTCTATAGACATGCTTAAAATACAACAGGAAATTAAACAATGAGTTAATATTTTTTTCAGATAGATGGTAGTCTTAAAAAATTTAATGAAATCTCTTCCTACTCTTTTAAATATGATTTTTTTTTTTTTTTTTGGTGAGACTGGTCTTTGAACTCAGGACTTCACGCTTGCAACAAAGCAGTAACAAAGCAGGTGCTCAACCACTTGAGCCACACCTCCAGTCCATTTTGCTCTGGTTATTTTGGAGATAGGGTCTCTAGAACTATTTGCCTGGGCTCTCCTCAAACTGTAATCTTCCTGATCTCAGCCTTCTAAGAAGCTAGGATTACACGTGTGAGCCACTGGTGCTTAGCTATCTATCTGATTTTTTAAAGTAACAAACAATTGGGCAAGTTTTACATATAGTGCTCATTTTGTCATTCATACTTGAGTACATGGAACCTAGCTGGAAGAAGCAGGTCACTGGGCGCATGCCTTGTCCATGGTGCATTCTCTCTCCCTCACCCTCTCTGCTTCATTGCCATGAGGTGAACAGCTTCCTCTGCCATACCCTTCCACCATGATGCTCTGTCTCACCAAAGGCCTGCAGCAATGGAACCAACTGAAACCTCTGAAACTATGAACCGATGTAAATTTATCTTCCTTAAAGGTGTTTTTCTTGTGTATTTTGTCACAGTAATGAAAAGTTGACTAACATAGGATTGTTATAAGGATTAAATAATTTAGTATTTGTAAGACTTTTAAAACAGTGCTTAGAACATAGAGGTTCTATGCAAATAATGTGACATTATTTTAAGAATACAGTAATAGACCAAATAACAATATTCAGTCAATGATGGTCACATATGATTATAATGAAGCTGAAAAATTCCTATTGCCTAGTTAGGTTATAGCTGGCTGCAGTCATCCAAATATCAGAAAGCAATACACAGCTTATGTTTGTGAGTATGCTGGTGTAAACAAACCTACTACATTGCCAGTCTGTGAAAGCATAGCATATAAAATTACATACAGTATACAAAATTTGATAAACAACTGTACCACTGGTTTATCTACTTATTGTACTCTGCTTTTCACCAGTAGAGTATACTCCTACTTATGAAAAAAGTTTACCATGTAACAGTACACCAGAGTTGGGGTGTAGTTCTGTGATAGAGCACCTGCCTAGCATGCATGAGGCTCTGGGTTCAATCGCCAGCACTGAAAAAAAAGCATGCCACATTAAGCTGACATCAGCTTCGTACACCTCATGTTTACCTGTCTCTTCACTGCATAAGATTGCATCATTCTGAGTTGCTGACCTATGCATCTAGGTTTAATGTTAAGCATCACTCCATGATGGTCATACAACAATGAAATTAACTGGCACATTCCTCAGAATGTATTCCCACTGTTAAGCAATACACGAATGTACTAAGTTCAGTTCAGGGTAACATATTTCAAGAAAGGCAAGTCAGCATATATGTAAAGTAGTTTTAGATTTTTCTTTGGTCAGCAATCCTTTGAAAACTATTGCTCATTTCCCAGAAAAAAAGTATACAATTATTTTAAAGTGGTCTGTAGACTTTCTAAAAGGCAACTCTGCTCCTAAGGGTTTTTGTCACCATAGATTAAAGATTACTAATCTAGAATAAGGCAAACAGGTGGTAAGAAAAGAAATGTGGCCTGGAAATTATAATCAAAAGCAGTTAAAGTATGTGGGGCTATTTGGCTCTTAAATGTTTCTCTATATAACAGTTGACCTCAAATTTGAAGCAAGGCCTCAACATGTGTTTTATCGGTCCATATAACTGAATAAGGTATAGGTTGCAGGGAGATTTGTACTCAGAATAAAATATGAACACTCAATTTCTTGGGATTATAAATGAGACTCTGAGTTCAAATCTCAATTACCACCAAATAATTAAAACAAAACAAAAACAAAAAAAACCAAAAAAGGCTGAACTAGATGAACTCTAATGATCTCACCAACATTACAAGATTCACTGAAGTTATCAATAATAAAATGGCTCAAGAACAAATGTCAGGTACTAGTGACAAAAATAATAAAAACTCTCTGCTCTCATGGTTGTAAATGTGGTTGACAGAGATAATGCAGTCACTAATCTAGGAAAATATATTTTGATAAATAGTAAACATTTTAACAGTGTATTTCCTTTCTTTTCTTTGTTTTTCTTTTTTTGCAATAGAAGTTTAGCTATTTTACCCAGGTTAGCTCCGGGACTCAAAAGATCTTTGCTTTAGCCTTCTAAAATGCTGGGATTAAAGCACATGCCAACATATCTGGCAGAGTACTTTCTATCTGCTTAGGAGCAGTACTTTTGAAAATAACCAGTTTTTAGCTGAGCATGGTGGCTCAGGACTATAATCCCAGCACTCAGGAAACAGAGGCAGGAGCATCATGAATTTAAGACCAACCTAAACTACATAGCAAATTCAAAGCCAGCCTGGGTACACAGCAAGATCCTGTCTCAAAAAAAAAAAACAAGGGCTGGGGAGATAGCTCAGTGGTAAAGTACTTACCTAGCATGTACAAGGCCCTGAGTTCCAATCCAAGCATCACAAAAAAAAATTAAAACATCAGTTTTCAAGGGATTAAAAATAGCTGCTTCTTTAGGATTAAGCAATTCAGTTTTTTTCCTTTACAAAAAGCTTATTGTTCTTTATCATGTTCAACAGCAATCTGGAGTTGTTGAAAAGTCAAACCTAGGTAGTCCTTAACTAATTTAAGACTTTGCTGACAGATTTTCCTTACTCAAGTATTTAATGTGCTCACCATAATTACCACTAAGCTGTACTTGTTGTAGAGGTAGAATACACAAAGAAGAACAGCTAAAATATTGAAGAATTTTAAAAATTGCTATAAACATCCAACACAAAGACTTTCTACTATGACATCACAAGTTTCCAGAATGCTAATCTGATTTTTACTCACTATTTACTGATATTTATATACAATTACCTTTACTATATAGTTTAGAATATTGCAGAATTTTATTTTACACTTGCAAACTTACAGACTTTTAAAAAGTTTTGTACTCACTAGAAATAAAAACAAAAACAAAGTAAAATAAAACAACAACAAAAAAACCCAGGCTTCCAAAATATAAGGTCAAATGTGAAAATGATGGTTATGGGAAGGAAATGTGACACACAACTGGATGGTACAGCAAATCCAAGCTGTATAAAAATAATCTTGATCTAATTTTTAGAACTGCCCATTTCACTTTACTGACCTCATTATGTGGTGAGGATATGAAGGGGCAAATTATATGGAGAAAATGTTAAATAAGTAAGAGTTTTAACTACTTCGACATGATGCTTAACCAAATACTTAAGATGAATTTTGAGAAAACTTTTCTCTTATATTAAAATAAATACCTGAAAGTGTATGTTTTCATCTACTTAAGGATGAACTTGTCTTATGAAGAACTAGGTTTGAAAAAACCTGAAGTATCTTAAAATTTTGGTACAATTTCCAAGAAAACACTCACTGTGTGTTTATATATGTGGAAATTTATCAAACACATTTTTAAATGCTTCAGTTAATATTCTAAAGTGTCAAACAAAATTAGCTTTAAGGAAATCTAAAGACATGATATTTAACTATATATCCCGCAGGTAGGCTTAGCTGTAGACTAATCAGGTTCTTAATTACCTGTGTTTATTTCCTCTACAATTTCCAAATCTTCTATTTGAATCACATGATCTAACATCTCCATAAAATGGTCTCTGATTTCTTCAGCTGATTCATCACCAAATTTATAATCACACAACTTTACAGCAGATCCAGGAATGGGGACAAAAACTCGGTGAGGGAGTATGTGGAACTCCTTTTCAGAATCTAAAGAAAGGAACATTATCAATATTTAGATAAGTATCACTGAATACATATTTACAAGTACATGAAAACATCTAATAAAGCATTGAAATGATAATGCCTTCTCACTATCTAACTGACATGACCCAAAATTGAGTTCTCCTAGCTTCTGTAAGGGACCTAAAAGACACTCCTGTGAAACCTCTAATCTATCATTACCTTTAACGTAAAGACGCTGCTGATTACACATTCTTACAGGAATCACTGTCCCATGACAGAACACTCAAGAAGGAACTCTGTGCCAGCTCTAGAAATTATTGTCTTTGTTTTAAGCTTGTAAGTACTGTGAATCTTATGGCTGATTCTTTCCTTTTTCATGCATGCTTGGAGTCAAACCAGGGCCTATCTACATGAGGCAGGCAGGACACAACAGAATACACTTTTGTATTAATGTCACTACTCCCTCCATCTTACTAGATATAGCCCTCCCCCCACTATATCAAACATGCTTAGGACATTAAGACATGTAATTCGCAATAATCTCACCAGCAATCCTTGTAAGGAAGCAATATTCCTTGCTTCCTTTTCCTTCCTGTTTTGTTTTGTTTTGTTTTTGAGACAGTGTCTCACACCCTAGCCCATCGTGGCTTCAAACTCACTATGTAGCCCAGGCTGGCCTTGAAATAGAGATCCTTCTACCTTAGCCTCCACAATGCTGGGATTACAGGAATGTACCACCATGCCTGGTTTGCTTTATTTTCATCTTCTTTCTGTCTCATTACTTTATTTTTCTCTGGTTACTTTTTTAGGAAAAATAATCCAAATTTACATAAAGAATGATTAACTATGCTTCATTTTTCTTTGGATACTTACAAACTATAATATATTTCCCCAAATTTGTAACATAAAAAGGTACTAGTTCACATAAACACATAACTACAGTTTAACACTGATTCTAATGAACTATCACAGAAACAGATTTTTGTGAAGAATGACCTCTATGTCTGCAACAGATATGACTAAAACGCTTCCAATGTAAAGAGCAAACAGAAAACTGGGGCACACAGTAATAGTAACCTACATTTCCTTATCAGGGGACCAGTAGTAGCTTTACAATTTGTAATTAACAGAAGACAATGAGCCAGGCCTTGAGTGTCACAGGAAACACCATGACTTAAAGTATGCATTCCTTCCAGATTCTGTGTATTATCTTATTTGCATATGAGAATGGGGAGGATAATTTTATCTTTGACCAGACTGCCTCCTAGCTGTAGAATTACATTACTGCAATTCGCATTGCAGCATGTGAGTTGTCTCTACAACTATACCAGAATACTGAGTCACAAATATTTGAAACAGATTAAGTTGAAAACTTCAAAGATTTACATTATTAAACTTGTAATTTTTATTTATCTTGATATCTTAAGATCAACAATAGGGCTGGGGTGTGGTGAGCCAAGCACAAAGTCCTGAATTGAAACCCCATTAACCATCAAAAGAAAAAAATCAAGGATAATATGCATTATAATTGATATACAATATTTTAAACCCACATTTTCCTAGAAAAAGGAATATGTTATAAAGACTAAGTGTTAAAGAATTGGTTATAGTAAATTTAAATTACTCATTAAAAGGAAAAGCAACTGTTAACTTTGAAATTGAAAAAGTTAAGATAAAGCTGGCTGTGACGGTGCATACCTGTAATTCCAGCTTCTTGGAAGATACAGATCAGGAGAATCAAGGTTTGAGGCCAGCCCAGGCAAAAAGTTATCAAGACCACATCTAAACAAATAAGCTGAACATGGTGGTACATGTCTATAATCCCTACAGCCCCCCACTATGAGGCAGGCATAGGTAGAATTGTAGTCCTGGGCCAGCCCAGGTCAAAAACACAAGACCCTATCCAAAAAATAACTAAAACGAAAAGGGCTTGGGGTGTGGCTCAAGTGGTAGAACATCTGCCTAGCAAGTGCAAGGCCCTGTGCTCAAGCTCAAATCCCAGTACCAACAACAAAAAAAAAGTTAAGATAGCAATTTAGTCCCTAAATAAGATTTAAAAACAATCCAGTACATTTGAGGTTAAAAATGAGAGATCTTTTTGAAAAAAAAAAACAATCTCAAATAGTAGTTTAAAAAATCCTTTAGGAACAATCTTACAGCAGGGTATCTAGTTCAACATTATTTGAATAAATTCAAAACAGATAAAACATTTTCAATTTAAGACAATTTGATAAGGACCAGGTTTCTGGTTAAAAACAGAACCCCAGCACATAGCAGAGTATCATAGAAACGTCTGTAAGACAGGTGACCTGAGCTGAATGCTAAAGGATAAGTAGGCATTTGCATAAAGAGAGGAGAAGTGCATGGAATGAACAGAATCACAGGCTCAGGAAAAAAGGTTACAAATGTTCTGGAGGACAAGTATGTGAATGAAGTGATGTAGGGAAGGAAGATGCATAGGTCTAACCATCACAGCAAGTTGGGCAGGACTGATTGAACACTGATAGTAAATAATGAAGAAGATATGGAATACATCTTAAGGGAAATCAGAGAAGATCACAGTAAGTAAAAGGATTTGCTGGAGTTCACATATTTTTTACTGTTACTGAAATGAATTCAATTATGATATATTATAAGAACTTTTGTAAATGTCACAATGTACCCCCACACAACAATGCAGTAACTAAAAACAAAAAAATCAAGTTCTTTCATATGAATATCAATAATTCAAGACAATGTTTACTTCAAAGATTAGGAAAATAAAGTTAATATTCCCTTTGGAGACTTTCTTATACATACAAAATTAATTTCAAGGTATACATTGTATATTTTGTTATACTATAGCAGCTGCCAAGATCTTACCATATAAAAAGAAAAGCTAAGTAGAATGAAGACAAAATCTAAAATCTAGCAATCAGGTGTAACATTATGGTTTGAATATGAAATTTCCACCAAACCTCTCATGTGCTGAAGACTTGGTTCCCAATACAACATTGAAAAGTGGGGCTTGGAAAAGTGCTTGGATCATAAGGATCATAGAATCTAATCAATAAATCCATGATAGATACATAGTTTAACAGCATTAGGGGGAGGTGGCAGAACCAAGTGTGCCCTGGAACGGGACATCTTCTCCAGTCTCCCCCATTCCCTGACTCACTTCCTGGCCACCATGAAGTGGATAGTTCTGTTCTTCCATGCTCCCCACCATGATGTTCTATTCTCAACACAGGCTAGGAACAATAGAGCCAAGTGACCATGGACTGACCTCTAAAACCATGAGCCAAAATAAATCTTTCTTCCTTTAAGCTGATTCTCTCAGGTATTTTATCACAGCAATGAAAAGCTAATTAATATAGGTGAATATATATTCAACTTCAGAATTTATATTTCCTTCTATTATCTAGCTTGCAATTTTTCTTTTAAGATCAACTAACATGTTGGAAACATTATCCTGACTCTTAATAAAGATAAAAGCATGTACATAAATAGAAAAATGGTATCTGTTGAAAGTATTCCAGGAATGGAGGTGGAGGTATGAAGGAGAACAGTGGAGGGGGTTCATTCAAGTATGACATATTGTAAGAACTTTTATAAATGCCACAAAGTACCTCCAGCACAACAAAAAGATTAAAATATATGTATTTACATCTTATTTCTTTTTGAAATATAATTCTAACCTTCATTTGAAGCTAAAGCATTTCAAAGACAACTAAGTTATATGAAATAATTTCCTTCGTCCTCTCTGTCACAATGGCAATTACTATTACTTGGTTTGGATGTGATTTGTTCCCCAATGGTCCATATGTTGAGAGCTTGGGCTTCAACGTGCTGATGTTTGGAGGTGAAAACTTGAAGAGGGCGGCCTATAGGAGGTCTTTAGGTCCATGCGGGTATGCCCTTAACAGGGATTAAAGTATTTCCCATGGGGCTGTGGTTTCTCTGGTACACAAGAAAATATTATAAAGTCTTAAGCCTGGCCTCACCCAATTCTTCTTTTTGCCATTATGTGTCTTTTGTTTGTTTGCTTGTTTTATTTTTTTTCTGAGTATTGAACCCAGGACCCCATACAGGCTAGGCAGGTGCTCTACCACTAAGCTACATCCTTAGCCTCTAGCCATCATTATATGACCTAACAAAGGTCAGACTGAGCTGATGCAGGAGGCGGAAGCCAGGCACTCGAATCACCAAAACTATGAGCTAAATAAACCTCTTCTTTGTAAGTAGCACACCTCGGGTATTTTGTAATAGTGATAGACTAATAAAGAACTTAAGAACTTCAAAGTCTTTGCTCTTTCTATTAAATTACATTCTATTTTCTTCACACAGGTCCCAAGGCCATTCAATTACCAGTGAAAACTTCTTCACTTTTTAAAATCCTAGGACTAGATGACAATACAAACTTCTAAAAATATCAAGTTTAATGTTTAAATAGTATAACTACTATCAGAAGCAGCTGAACTAATTGGATTGAACATCAGCAAAAATTTCAAAATAATAACTTCATATAAAATAATACCAAGACAGTCAAAATACCATTTTCATACAGCATTTTTTAAATGTTAAAACTACACTAATGTACGTGACAAGGTAAATTTTTGGCATTAAAGGTGGATACAGGCCCATGCCCATGAAAATCCTAAAATTTACAATTCAAGTGTAACACATACTGTTGCTCAGAAAGTGAAGTAATGATTAATACGTAAGGAGTTATATACTCATAATCAAGTAGCAAAAACAAGCTTTACTGAGAAGAGGCTGCTTGGCGAACTAGGTTATGTAAACAGACCCCGCATTAACTCACCTACCATACCACTGTTTTAATCTAATTCTTTTCTCAGCAAATTTGTACATTATAGCAAATAGAACTTGAGGATTCTTTGTATAAATGTTAAGTCTGGCAATACCAAGGATCTAACATAGTAGAAATGTAGAAAAGGCTAAGATTAGTCTATCAAACCTAAAACACTGGCTATTAGCAGTACTAGAAGTTAGTCGTAACAGAAGCAATGCTTTTTTCCCTACAGACATAAAAATATTCCATTAATAAGCTAGTGCATATGTTTGAATTACGTACATATCTGAATGTGAGTCATAAATACTCATATCAGAGCAATAGGAATGAAGACAGGAGGGTATAGCTTCAAAAAAGTATAAATTTTTGAGTAAAAAATTATTTTAATAGAAATTACTGAGATGGTACAAACTGTTTCTGTTTCCTGAAAGATGGAATAGTTACTAAAGGGTAAGACAACATGACTCAGTCTTCTTTTTAAGCATAATGAAGCCTGTTAGAGTATTAGTGGAGAAGTACATAAACTAATACAGCTTATATATCATGTCTATTAAGGAACTGATTATATAGTACTCAACATTATTAAATAAGTCAAAATTTTTATTACAGGTAAGTTCTTTTAAAAACTTAGACAATAACAAAAAATCTTAGCCTTAAACCTCTACATAGTTTACTCATTCTTGAAGGGTAAGTTTACTCAGACTGAAATAAAAAAAAAAAAATCCTCCCTAAAATCCTTAAGGTTTGCAATTACAAAATGTTCCGAAAAAAATTTTGAGGGGGAGGAGAACAAATGAAAATTGTCATTCAATAATGAAAGATGTCGTATTGTTATAAAAGATACTACAGAAGATGACACGTCTATTTTTTACATCTTACTGTATCAAATTGAACACATGCACAAAAAGTACTTATTTTATACTCATAACTTTTTTTTCTGGAATTTCATTCAAAAGTAGATCCTCAAATAGTATTTCACAACGATCAGCAACTGTGTTTAATATATCTCTCTTCATTGCCTATGGGGGAAAACCAAGTAAAAACAGTAAGAAATAAAACACTTGGGATTTAAATTACATAATTACACAAGATCAACAGCATTTGCTTATCAATATAATCATGCCCACTCAATAACTGACATCATTCTATTTGTTATTTCCCTCTACTTAGCATTTATAGTTTAATGCCATATTTATGGTTTGATGACAAATTGCTTAAACCTCATTTAAATAGTAAAAACAAAAGCCTAAATGAAATTTTATATCTAAACAAATCTTGCCAATATTCCAAATTAGGAAATGTACAACTATGACATGAATGCCAGTGATCGTTTTTAAATTTCTCAATTATAGAACACTACTTAATAATTCTTCCTATGAATACTTCTCCTGCTTAAAAAAATTCAGGTTTTCTAAAAAGCAATGATTTCTAATGTGCTAATATGTTACAAGTATGGAATACTTACTAGCTATTTATAATCATAACATTAAAAGAGACATGGGTGCTATGGCTCAAGCTTATAATGCTAGCCACTTAGGAGGCTAAGATCAGAAGACCACCATTTGAGGACAGCCCAGGCAAAAAAAGTAGCTGGTGACTGTCAGCCCAGCTATGGTGGGAAGCATAAAATAGGAGGATCACAGCCCAGACTGGTCTGGGCAAATAAGAGACACTATCTCAATAATAACCAGAGCAAAAAGTGCTGGAAGTGTGGCTCAAGCAGGAAAGCACCTGCCTAGCAAGTGCAAGACCCTGAGTTCAAACCTCAATTGTAGCAAAAAAAAAAAAAAAAGGGGAAAGAAAGGCATGAAATAGATATTCCAAATGTGAAAACCTTAGAACCAACTGCATAGTATATTAGCACTGTCCAATGAATTGGGTTTCATCAACTAAAATCAAATAAATAATAATAAAATCTAAGATTGAAGATGAAAGAAACAGAAAAAGATTTAGGAGTTTTTGAATGCTTGTGACTGCTTCCATCTCTCAAATGCCAGTCACTCCTTTCAGTACCTGCAGAGCATCCTTGACCTTGGGCCTGCTGCTGTGAATGTAAGCTCTGCATTTTACAGCACCCTTGAGGTTCACAGAACCACTGCAGGTCTGGACTGTGGCTGTGGATCTGTGGTCTGAATTCAGGAGCTGAAAGACAAAATATGGTTAAACCTTAACAGTCAACAATTATTAACTATATGAAACATTCAAATGTAATATTGGCCATTTAATGAAGAAGGAAGGAATTTTTGACTGAGTCAAAAATTATGGAGATATTGAAAATATTCTCCATAATTATTTAAAAAGCATTAAAATTTCTCTTTATGAGTTATATATTATTTTCTGAGAAATTTGAAAGACTGAAATTAAACCCAACTACATCTAAATGTCCTCCCATTAACAAAGAAACATAAAATACCAATAATCATTCAATATATTCACTAAAAACACATTATTTGCAGATTACTCAAATAAGTAGGGTGAAGATGAAAAGATGCATAAGGAAAACATGACATAGTAGGAGATATACAGTGTGCAGTATAAGAAACACAAAATAAGTATATAAAGTAGGAGGTGATAACTATGGTACAATCATAATCTACTCAATAATTCCACTTTCAACTGATTACTTTCATATGCTAAAAGTAATGCTATGCTTTATTTATGAAAAACAAAACATCAGCCTCACACTTGTAATTCTGGCTACTTGGGAGGCAGAGATCAGGAGAACTGTGGTTCAACTCCAGCCCAGCAAATAGTTCCTGAGGGCCTATCTCAAAAATACCCAACACAAAAAGGGCTGGCAGAGTGACTCAAGTGGTAGTGTATCTTCCTAGAAAGTGTGAGGCCCTGAGTTCAAACCCCAGTACTGCCAAAAAAATTTAAAAAAAAAACCAAATTCCAAATGTTCCAGGTCCAGTCAAAAAATATTTATCAATGATTGAAGAAGCAAGGTGACAATACTGATATTATACTTGGAACAACCTTGCCATGACACTTACTCAGTTCACTGATATACCAGTATTGTGTGGGTAGAGAAGAGTAATGGGCTTTCCTTATCCACTCCACTAATCTTTACTGTAAATGAAATCTATTTCGAAAAATAGTGCCCTATTTTACTTATTTGACATATAATTTAAACTGCTATCATTACTACAAACAACACATTTATAATACATGTATTATATGTGTTAGGCTATTTAAAATAGACTACACAATGTACAACATACTATACACACATACAAATCAAGGAAAGACTTAAAGAATATAAGCACTAACTCATTTCTTTTTGGTGAAAATGTAGCTGAGTTCTACAAATGTAAATTCTTCTTGGTTGTCTGGACTTAGGTACAAACTGGCTTACAGCCTTTAGAAATCCAACTTGTTCATAATTGAAGAAACTTCTTTCTATGACACAGAATTTTGCAAAAAGAAAGGTATGGATGACCAAATGAAACCTGTTAGAAGTACTGGCATTTTTGGCTGGCTGTTAATATACAGAAAGGATTTTTGACTGTAAGCAATGAGGAAAACAGATGGCACTGACAAGACACATGGTTCAGGAAATACACAGGATTTAAAGGTACAGCAAGCAACCATCTAGAGTAGTAAGAGTTAGAAAATAAAAATGAAAAGATATGCTGAGATTATGAAATGGAGCCTAATTAGATTTTTCTAAAAGTATATAAAACAAGGAATTTGAGCAAGGAAAATAAAATCAATGTCTGACCCTTGTACGAATGACTATTTTCTGAGAAAACTTACTACAAGTGAATGAATACAACCTGCAATTCAGAAAGGACTATCTGAGGTTATATACAAGATAAAGTAGTAATATGAAAAAGCATTCCATATTACAAATAACAAAATAAGGGTTTCCACAGATGCTCACTCTGGGCAAGAATGTACATGTAGAACCAGTCAAGACTTACTTGTGCTAACCTAGGTGAAAGAATACTATTGTAAGGTTTATGACATAAGCCTCACACTGCAAAGAGTCAATGAGATCTGAGTAGAAGACCATGGCAGCAAGTACTTATTGAACATGTATTATGTATTGGTCACTTCAAAAATTCCTGTTGAGTGCCCAGTGAAAACGAGTAAGGAAAGTATACTGCAATATATAGTACTAAATACTATTATAGCAAATTCCCATACTCTCATTTCTTAACTGTAAAGCTGTAATTTAATCACAAAAGCAATTTCAAATTATTTAATAAATCAGTACATAAGGCTAACTAGCAAAGAACATGTAAGAAAAGGAACAGCCAGCCTTAAAATGAGGACACCTCTAAAATCAAAACAAAGAAAGAAAATAAGAGACTAAGAATACTTATAAGGTATTGAGAACTCATGTTGAAAAACTTAAACCCAATAACAACTTAGTAACATTCTATAGTTATACACAAAAAAAGAAGAAAATTAAACACCCTCATGAGCCAAATTGCTATTAGTTATGTTTTATTGAGTTAAAAAAACTGAAGGTCCTGGTAGTATTTCCTTGTTTCAAAGTCCAGTACAACATCGAAATGAAGTTTCCTAAAAACATTGTGTTATTTTTATACCCTTGTCTGTTCTCTAGGATAATGTTTAGTAGCATTAATGAAAACTAAGTATATTTTAAGAATAATTAGTTTTACATTTTTTCTTCAAGATACTCAAATGTAAATTTCCAAAGAGATGTGTAATTTACAATAACCATAGAGAACTATGAAGTTTGCTAATTAATTAGTACTTTGTTATTTTTATCAACTTAATGGAGCTACAGTTGTGCTTCAAATTAAGTGTAGGATAACTCTTGATACATCTATGTATGCATCTTTTACTTTTAAGTTGCTAAGAATTCTAAGTTCCACAACTCAAAATATGTCTGTGTGTATGTGCATGTGTATGAATGTATTTATTCTTTAAATTTCTATATACTCAGTCTTGAGGCAAAAGGCTTAAATAGGTTTTACTAACATAATGTTTCTAGAGCTTCCAGAGCAAGATGGTGAATTAGAAGCTTCTTCTGTGGAGACTCCATGAATGAGAAGAGTCAGGATAACAAAGGACAGACTATGTTCTGAAAAAAGAGAGAAGAGCATCAGGAATCAGGTAAGAGGTTACAGACCAGCTGAAGCACAGAAACAGAAAGGTGATGCACAGAAAAGGAACAATCACAAGTCTCAGGGAGCCTGTGGACATCCTGCCACAGTGATGGGTGGGAGGCAGCCACAGAGGTAGTCATGAAGAGCGGGGGAGGGCAGCACAGGAATCCACTGAGAAGTTCAAGCAGCAGGGAGCTCAGGCTGTGGAGGGAGAGGTGGTCAGTGGCCTGACCGCTGTGACTAGGAGCGAGCTAAGGATCACTGTGGAGACTGAGCTTTGAGACTGTGGCATGCAGACCACTCAGCCTCCAGAGCTGTACGCAGCATGGGGTCCACTGCCAGGTGGACCTGAGAGCTCTGAATGCAGGTTCTGCAGTTGCTCCATTTCCCTAGCCTCCTGCAGGATGATTTACTGCTGGATAGGGACTAAAAGAACTAATATAAGTGGGCAAAGTGCTAGGGTCTCCCCAGACAGAGCAATTTCAGTGCTCTATTTGCTTCTCACTCTGTGATACAATTTGGGGACACCCGTAACTGACAAACTGGGGACAGCCTGGGGAGTGAGTGGGAACCTGTGCAGATCACAGGCCACAAAGTTTGTTGGGGCCAGCAGCAGCTCCTGGTACACAGGGAAGCTTCAAGCGTGAAAACAGCTCTGAAGCTGACAACTGACCCTTGACTGGTCCTGTCCTCAGCCCATGTACGGCACCAGCCTGAACAGTAGGAATTACAAGAGACCCTGGCTATGACTGAGATTCAATCTCACCCTAGTCAGAATGGCTATTATCAAGACAATACACAGCAAAAATGCTAGTGAGGATGTGGGGGAAAAGGAACCCTTTTTGTCAACAATGTTGTTAGGTGAGTAGGAATATACACTAGTACGGCCATTTTGGAAAGCAGTATAGAGATTCCTCAAAAAACTAAAAACAGAATTACTGTATGCCCCAGCTATACCACTCCTGGGTGTATACCCAAAGGAATCCAGGTCAGCAAACAATAGATATCTGCACATTCATGTTTACTACAGCACTGTTCACAATGACCAAGTTATTTAATCAGCCTAGGTGCCCATCAATGGATGAATGTGTAAAATGTGATACACACACACACACACACACACACACACACACACACACACCCCAGAATTTGATTTAGTCACAAATGGGAACATTATGTCACTTGCAGAAAATAGATGGAAGCAGAGATCATTGTGTTAAACAAAATAAGCCACACTCAGAAAAACAAATAACTCATTTTTTTTACACATGTGGAATCTAGATTTAATAATAATAATAATAATAAAAGACAAAAACATCAAAGTAGAAAGTAAATAATTTGGGAACAGGAAGGGAACAAGAGACAGCAATGCGGGAGGTGAGTATGATCAAAGTACATTACATACTTGTATGAAATGTCATAATGAAACCCATTATTTTATACAATTAATATACACTAATAAAAACATTTAAAAATCAGGGAGAGAAATAATGTTTTTATTTTAACTTTCCTATACTGAATATTTTATACATTTTGTATATCTCTAAAAATTTTTATTCTCTAATTAGAAACATAAAAACAATTTCATATGGCTATTTTAAGAAATAATGCAATTTCAAAAAGTGATATTTAAAAATATTTACCAACTGTGTTAGCAGTCGGACATCAAAAGAATGACTGGTTCCTTGAGTATTTCCTCTAGAAGACTTTTTCTAAAAAACAACAACAACAAAAAAAAAAACCTCACCACACACAAATGTTAAAAGGCAGACTGTTAAGATTGTAAGTGAAATATAAAAGACAATTTAGGAGCTATTGTACATATACTAAGTAAGTAAGAGAAAAAAACAAGTCTATTACTTTTTTTTAAACTTACACATTTTATACAGATATGCTACTTTATGCACTCTATTAATCAATATGTACTCTTACAACCATTCCTTACTTTAATTCCTCTGGAGGAGGAATTGGCAAATTATTGCCTGTGGGCCAAATCCTCACTGCCCCCTTTCTCTGAAAATAAAGTTTTATTAGAACACAACCATTATCATTCATTTCCATTATCATCTGTGTTTACTTTCACACGACAACAGCAAAGATATATAATTATAATAAGACAATATGGCCTGCAATGTCTAACCTATTTACTGTTTGGCTTTTTATATAACATTCACATATCTCTGCCCCAAAGGGAGAGGTGACCAAAATTCCTCTTCCTTCGGGTGAAGGGTATTTGAGAATCCCTTAAAGACCCTCCCATAAAATGCTATCATAGTACAACAATATAGGATGTTTAGTTTTAAGTAAGCAGTTTACAAATTGGACGTTAGAAGAAATTAACATAATACTCTCTAAAGCAAGTTCTAGGATCCCGGTTACACCAGAAATAATTTCCTCCCATCATTTCCTAAGAGAAACATTTAGCCTTTACTTAGAAAGACCTTAGAAATGAGTAGCTAAAATCATTTTTCGTGATGTTTTCTTAAGCACAAATTATTTTATAATAAGATGATTTTCTCTGAACTCACCTGTCCTTCTAATAGATCACAATCTCCATCTTTAACTTGTCCATTAATCAAATAAACACCGTTTTCTACTTGCTTGGCCCAGCGTGCAAGTCCATTCTTAAAAGAAGCATAACACGGAAATCTTTCAGATGTAAACTCACCTCAATTAAAATCCCTAATTCTGTAAGTATCCAGTAGTGCAATATTTAAATCCAATCTCATAAGTTAAAAAAAATGAAACTATACCCTAATTTTTTTGCACATTACACATATTTAACAATAGTTTCTTCTGATCTTTGTCCTAGCTAATATACCACAGACTCCAGAGTCTTATTAATTACATGACTATAATAAATAAAATTCAGTAATGGCTATTATCTTTCGAACACATTGTTCCACCTATAAAAACGATTCCTAATCTGGCAGTAATAGCATATTAGTTACTCATATAACACAATCATTACAAAGTGAGTTTCTTAGGATTATAAAATGAATGTCAAAACCAGAACAGCAGATTGTCCACTCTGCAATCATAATGAAGACTCATTTTACTGATACCTTCGTATTTTTCTCCAGAGTATAGGTGACAGAGGTTGTAGAAAGTGGGATGTGAATATTAATATGAACAGTACACTCTAAAGAAAGCCATGAGGTAGACAGTCCATTTTGATACTTCCAATCTGCTGGTCTTGGTGAACTCTTTAGTAGGAGAGAAGGTGGAAAAACATAAACTATGATATGGTTCTGGTAAAATACACACATCAATAAAACATGAAGCATATAACCAATAACACAAACAAGCTAACATCCAATGAATTTGGCCAAATTCTGGCATCAAAGGGCAACAGAGTAGCGCTAAATGAAAAGTAAAGCAGGTATTAATTTTGGTACTCTTTCATACATCCTAGGCAACCTTGCCAATTCCCAAAGGATAGGCAGAAAAAGATAGAAAATAACACACTAAAAATTCTATAAAGTTCTCTGGACTCCCCAGCTTTTACTCAAAACCTCAATAGTGTCAATTCTGAGGATTTTGATTTGCAGCATATAATCACTGACTAATATTAGGAATCAGGCATTCTCCTTTTTGTCCCATCCTTGATAACACTGCAAAGTTATTTTTCCACATTGCCTTTGGACACCTTAACAAAATGCTAGTCTGGGTTCTGCTGAATATACGTAGCTTGTTGACTAAACACTACAACTACCAAAAGTCCTCAGTCACACTATCAGCTTCTCAAATATAAAACTAAACACACAGTGAGGCAGGAGAAGCTTAACAAAAATATTTGTATCAATTTTCTTCCTTGACCGTAATGAAGCTAACATTTCAAAATAAACACTACAGGTGGTTACAGGGATTAATAAGAAGTTATGGCATTAAAAATTATTAAAATTAAATGTAGAGGTGAATTTTATTTAAAAATTTTTATTAAAAATAAAAATTCTTTGAAGATTTTTTCCTTAGAATAAAGAACAATTTTTCTTACCTTTGGATCATGGACATCATAAGTTCGACAAGATAGTCTTTATGAATTAAGGATAGAAAAGAAGCAATCCTTGATGAGTAACAAAATATAAACCATAAAAAATAAAAACAGAACATGCATCCAAGAGTTTTTACAAATCCTAATGCTTTACACACTTAAAAGACTTATACATAAATGTAGAGGTATGTGTGTATACAAATACATATGTACATACATATGAATTGCTCTGACAGTAGCACTTTTGGTGCTTGAAAATTATTTCCTTCCATTTATAAGTACTGCCAAACACAATAGAATGGAAGCATATGTGAAGTTTTCCTCAAACACAATCTGAGTAACAAAAAGGAGTGCTGGATGGATGGGACCAAGCCCAAGAAAGTTTATTGGGTCAAAAGGTTAGTTCATGAAACTTTCCAGTTTGAGTCCAAGTACGTTGAAAGTTAATCTTCTATAGGACTGGTCATTTCATGGATTTTGTCTTCTTCATGTCCTAATTCATTGGTTTCTTGGACCCAATGTGTCACTGCTTTAGTGAGGAGGTTCTTCCTTGGAACCTCTATCCTGGCATGTTAAAGAGTGGAGACTCTAAGGAGGCCCTATAACCGGCTTTTAGTGTCACTTGATCCTGCCAAAGGGCGTAAGGGTTTCTTGCCAGTTCAGTGCATTTGTGCTTTGAAATGCACAATTTTTATCTTCACGAAATAAAGGTCAAACTATATTAAAATAATAAATACATGACTTTGCCTAAGATGTCAGTGGGCATTCCTCTCTCTTTAGAGGGTCTCCTGTTCTTGGATGTACAGGGATAGCTGGTAGAGAGTTCCGAAACCTGAGTCCTTGCTGTCTCCCTCCAACTCTTATAATTCTGGGATGTGATTAACAACCATGATTATGATTGTAATTACTGGTAGTCCTGATTATAATGTATCATTTACAAAAAAAAAAAAAAAAAAACCTTCCCAAACTATGCCCTATGCCTTTTTAAAAAACGGTAACTTTAGCAAATGTTTAAGGGAAAAAAATCTGTAGAACTTGGTGTTATATACTTTTAACTATAAACACCTAAACAAAAGATACTTTTTTGTAGAAGAGCAAATGTGAAGTACCACTCGTTCTGAGACCTCCTCCTCTGTGAAATTCCAGAGTCTTTTTCTATTCAAAGATTTTTCCACAGCAAATATTAACTGAAAAGCAGAAAAACACACATTAATTCAATGCAAAATGAAAAGTGATGTGGAAAAGGCAATTATAACGTCCCTAAGACCCCATTTAGCTTTAACATTTCATGAGTCTACCATTAAGTTTTCATTCTTTCAAACCAAATAGAACTGATATATTAATCATTTTAGATTCCATTTTTAAAGATTTACATAAAAACTGGATTTAAAATAGAAAAGTGTAATTCCCTGTCATAAATGATTAACTGGACATGAAAAAATAATTTTGGGGAACTAGCTCTTACATGAAATGTAGAATAGGAACTTTTATTTAGAATAAGAAATAACAAGTGATTTTAACTATAAAAATGGAGACTGTTGCCCATTTAGCATTTCTTATTTGAATGTCACAAAAGACATAAGGCAATATATAAGGGCAAACAAAAATTAAAAGTGAAAAAAGTCAGAATAGTGACATAAGTTGTGTCAGAAATAAGAATTATAAAACATACTGATAAGGGTATATGTATCATAAATGTGGTTTTAAGTTTTTCTAATGTACAGAGAAAAAAATTTAATTTGTTATCTAATTTACAAATAACAGTCCATAAACTGAAAAACTGAAAACAAACTGGTCAAAAGATGCATGTCTTTCTTGATTAGGATATCAAAAGAACTTCTCCCAGAAACGTAATATTATATAAATGAAGACCAAAGTTCTTAATAATAATGTCTTATGGAAGATGTTAACAAGTTTTATTAGGATATTTCTTACAGTGTCTTTCAAGATAAATCATTTCTATCATTTTTTCTGTGACCCCCACCCCACAGTCCTTCTGATTATAGTTTTGTCTTTCAGATAGAGTTCCCCACTAACTTTACCTAGGCTGGCCTCAGAACACAATCCTACCTCTACCTGTCTCAAGTAAGTGGTACAACAGCATGCACTGCCATGTCCAGTTCCTCCCCAACTCCCAACTTTTTTTTTTCCTTTCCTTTTCTTTTTCTTTTTTTGAGACAAGGTCTTGCTATGTAGTTGAAGCTAGCTTGGAATTTGCTACCCTGCTCACATTGGCTTCAAAATCATGATCCTCCTGTTACCCAATTGCTGGGGTTACAGGCATACAGAAAACCATGCCTGGCCGAGATGTAGCATTTCAGTCTTATATTCTTAGGAACACAAGATACAAAAGCAAAAGGAAGAAGGACCTGACTGAATCCTCTAGCACTGAGTCAACATCCACTCCACTCAACTCAGCAGTGGCCACAAAAGGATACACAAGCAATGGTACTAACATTCAAAACACCAAGATTTAAATTATATTTTAGACTGTCAAAGATGGTGTACGACAGTGAAAGAGATAAACTTACTCAACATGGAAAAGAGGGCAAAAGACTGAAAAACTTAACAGGGAAAGGAGTACCTTCACTTTCTTCCCTTACTCTGTTAGGCAAAAATATTAAGATAGAAGGGTGGAACATCTGATAGGAGAGGTTACAAAACTGGAAGAATCAACAGCATCTGGGGTTCTAAGGAGCATAATTTTTTTTAAACTAACAATTTTTTTCTGGTGGAATTTTGTGCTTCTGAAGAGCATAAAGTCCTCCTTTTTCTTGGGGCATGAAATAATTTTGTGAAGGCTCATTTGGACCTTAACTGCTAAAACAGATGAAAGCTATCTGCACAGAGGTTTATGCTTTAGGTTTGGGTTTAAGAGAAAACAGCTTAGGACATTCACATTTACTCTTAGACTAGGTAAACCTCAATTCTCTAATAGAGAAATAAAATGAAAAACATAGGAGATGCAGGATGCATATTCTGTACAAGAATAAAAAGTAATACTGTTTATATTTTTAATACTGTTTACATTGTAATTTCAATTTTTTTTTTTTTTTTTGAGACAGGGTTTCTCTATATAGCTGCAGCTGGCCTACAACTCAGTAGTAGCTTAGGCTGGTCGTGAACTCAAGATCCTTCTACCTCAGCCTCCCAACTGTTGGGACTATAGGCACATGCCACCATGCCTGGCTTTAATCTCAGGATCTTGAAAAAAAAAAAACAGTGTAATTTGTTTTGTAACATGAAGAAATTTTCCTTAGGGGCTAGGACATAGCCTAGTGGTAGAGTACTTACCTAGCATGAGCAAGGCCCTGGGATCCATTCCAGAACCACAGAAAAAAAAAAAAAAATCTTTAAAACAAGGACTACTTAAAAATACATAGTTTTCACTGAAAACATGTTTCCATTTATCACACTCAAGATATACAAGCGATTGTATAGAAAAGGCTGATTCAACATAGTCCTAGCATAAAGAATTATGGAACACTAATCTAAATGTGCCTAGGGTCATTGTATATGCATATAATTAATTAAAATAATATGTAAATTTGATCTTATATATATATATGAGTTTTTGATGTATTAGACTTACTCTGCGCAGAGAATTTTGAAAATCATTTGCCAGTTCTAAAGTTGTAATAATAAATACTCCAAGAACTAAAAGTCCCCCAGGTAGCATTCTGGATACCTAAAAATCAAAATATAGTATTAGCTACCATAAACATGTATAGTCCTTTCTATTTGACAAAGGAAATATCAAACCAGCTAATACATACTAGTATCACTGTACACACAGCATTGAAGTAGGGGCAGTTGAAAAACTGGTTAAAATAACGAAAAACATGACAACCAAGATGAATGGGGTGTCATTATGTACACATCTTCCTAGGGTGTCTTTAACTTTTTACCTTAAAATCGCTGTACAAATAAAGCAATTTGTTAACAATATCCTTTAGCTACATTAATATATTAACTTTTTTTCATAAGGCTGAAAGACGAAAATAAATTTTGAAATTTTTCAATGGCTTCCCATTTCAGGGAAAAAAATCTGCATCTTATCTTAGACTGGTATTTCAGTATTTCTAGAATCTGGCTAATATGATGTTCAGAGCCTCATCTGACACTACTTTCCTTGAAATACTCAAATATCAGATGCAACTACTCACTATTCTCCATATATGTATACATATATATGGCTTTCTACCTCTGCCCTTACTCAGGCTGCTTCCTCAGCCTGAACTGACTTTTTCCTATACTTCTACATGTCTGAATTCTATCGGATGCTTCAAAGCCAGCTTGTGGATGCTGTCTTCACTGATAATTTCATCTCTGAACTCCACAGGATTTCATTGCAGCTTTCTGATTGACCTTATCACACAACTCTGTGTTATATGTACATGCTACCAGTTTTCCCTCCATATCTGTATTTCTCTTCACACAATAATGGCTAAGTTCCTAGCACAACATGGATTTTTCTCTGCCATCTATGTTCAGAGATCAGAATGTTCTGGTTAGCTTTTGTATATAAAGGTAAGTCTTAGAAAAATAGGTATCATAGTCTAATTCTATTATCTATTATGACTGTTAATGGTTCCCCTTGATTCCATAAATTCTACTTACTATAATATGACACATTTGATAAAGTTTTCAAATTTAACATGGGAAACTTGTACTTCTTAAAGATCACTAATTATAATTAACCATTTCTTTCTAGAAGTAAATAGGTTAATCTGATTTACTATAGAATTGATGCATATTTTCTGTGTACTTAAATGTGTGTGTATACATATATTTGTCCATATATACCATATAAAATTTTACAGGAAATCAAAAGCAAAATTAGAATAGTTATTTATTAAACACTTGAAATTGAACTGAAAATACTTAGCATTTTCTTTAGAAAACAGTATTAAAAATTTCTTAGATTTGTTTTTTATAACTACTCCCGCATCACAAACACATGCACACACATACAGAAACGTGTGTTTCTGGGTTTTAAAGGATTTAAAGTTGATTGGAGAAGGAAAAACAGCAATTCTACTTTCATTGTATTTTTCTCTTTTTTCTTTGTGGTGATAGGGATCAAACCCAAGGACTTCGGCATACTTGGCAAACATTCTACCACGTCATCAGCCCTTGGTTTTTTGAGACAGGGTCTCACTATATAGCTCAAGCTAGCCTTGAACTCTCAATCCTCCTGCTTCAGCCTCCCAAGTGCTGGGATTACAGTTGTGTACCACAATGTACAGTTTAATTCTATTTTATCTTTTCTTATTATCATATTAATGTTGTATTAGGAGTACATTGTGACATTTACAAAAGTTCTTAACAGTACTACACTTGAATTCCACTCGCTCCATCATTCTCCTTTATCTCTCCTCCCCCCATCTCATATTCTTTATTAGATGCCATAATTCATTCAATAAGTACTTTTAAGTGTTGGTGTAGTCATTATTCTCTCTCTCCCCCTCTCATCAACTCCTAAATCCATTTTGTCTGTTCATAATGGCAATATTTTTTCTCCTAGACACCCATGCTAAAAATCTCAGTCATCTCCAGCTGCTCTTGCTTAATCTCTCTTTACTACCAATCTACTTTGGTAACTAAATCTTCTTGATTCTAGCTCTTTCTCTGAAATCATTTGGTAATGAAGTCCTAGCTCACTGTAAGTCAATTTATCCAAGATTCGTTTACCTAATATTTTGGAGCCCTTTATACTATAAACCTGAGTGCTAGGCACTCAGGGTATAGTCATAAATAAAACACACGTGACTTATGTCCTCACAAAGCTCAGAATCCAGTTTAGGTTCATGCTATCTTTTTTTGGATTATTGTTATAACTCTACAGTTTTCTGTTTTGAGTCTCTCTAGTTTCCATTTACACTATGCCAAGATACCAAAGTTATCTTCTAAACATTAATCCCTTCTCAAAGTAAGGAGCTCTGAACATCAATTATGCAGGCCTGTTTACCAAATACACTCCTCAGGACTGAACTCTAAAGCCATCTTAATAGCTGGCCTCTTCTAGTCTTTTTAATTGTATTCTACATGTCCCATGTTTCAACTATACCCAATTACTTGCTATTCTCCTAACATACCTTTACTTTTATGCCTTTGTGTCATTTATCTATACTGTCCTTGGTGTCTTACTGATCCTTCCATACAACCATTGGCAGGTATTTAACAAGTACTCCAAAACCCTAGTCTGATAACCCGAGAACAAAGTGCTTTTTTTTCATTAGTCAAATAAACACAAACGATTATAGAAAGAGACAAGATTACCTGGCTGGCATGTTCTGTGGCCCATTCTTCATCCACATTATTCAACTTAGCTTTCAGATGCTTGAGGTTCTCATTTTGTTCCTCTTTGGGCGGTGTTCTAGTGGCAAGAATTACATAATCCTTTTGTGAAGAACACTTCAAAACAAATTATATATATAAAAGAAAAGAAAAAACAAATTATAAAAGCTTATTAGTGATATCTGATTGCAGAATCAGATATCTGAGCTCTTATGACATGCAAAAACTGAGTAATATTTATAGTAGGTTATGGAATCTATATTCATGGAAACTAATCTTAATAAACAGCCTTCCAATATTTCTCTCATGTCACTTATCTTTTGATGTTTAATGTACTTAATATCAATTTATTATTTATTTACTTATCCCAAATAGCACATAAAAATGGTTTACTAGGTATGGAAATGAACTACATTTATTAAAATGTAATATGCTTAGTCAATTTCTAATTATTGTTTTTATTTTCCAAATAATTTAAATACATTGGATATTTAGCAAATACATAATCCTAGTAAAATAGATCAACACATGATCTTGTGCATCTTGTTTTAATTGAAGTGGTAACAGTGATAAACTTTCTCAGAGGTGTTCACTGAACCACAAAGGGAGTTGGAATACATAATGTGAAGTGATACCAGATTCTAAGGTCTTTGAGTTAACGGTAGTTAGATGGTAACCAGAGGTGGAAGATCTAAAGACAAACTTAGAGAACACTGCATAGCCAGTTTCACTAAAGTGAACATATCCTAAAAAATGAGGAAAGTAAGGTTGATAATGCAAATTAATCACCTGAAACTCTCCAATGACTATTAGCATCATTTGAGATAGAAAATAAAGGAAGATTAATTATTTCTACAAAAGTATTTTACAGAAAGCTACATTCAAATGTACACAGGAAAAGGATGAAGCTCCTCATTAAAGAGGCTTTTTTCATAAAATGTCGAACTCCGAAAAAGTGACATTGAGATTAGGAAGTAAGCAACTTTGAGGGGAAGGGGGATAAGTGAGCTCTGTATTCAAAAGGAAAAAGCATGTATAGAACTGGAAGGAATAAAAAGATGGCATGAGGCCAGGTGTGACAGAGACCAGCCTGGGCTATATTGTGAGTTCCAAGCCAACCTAGGCTACATAGCAAAAACCTGCCTGTCTCAAAACTCCAAACAACAAACAAATAAGCAAAAGACAGCATGAATACAACTGGAATACAGACTTATCTGCAAGAGGACAGTTTTGCTGAGCTCTAGAAACAACTTATATCCAACAAGGAAAGTTTGGAAGAAAGTCTTCTCCCTGATCTTTTATTTTTAACACTTTCTCTAAGGCTATCCCTTAAAACTTCTAAATAAAGGGAGGTTAAAAAAAAATCTTAAATATAAAATTCCTAACAAAAAGACTCCCACATTACATGCTAAGTAAATGAAATCTAAACATGTTCAGATCATTCCAATAGAGGAAGCCTGGCTAGTGGTAATACCTGGGTGAACTGTACAGATATATACCCTCTGTCTTCTAAGAAATCTGGTTTTTTAAAACTTTGAAAACGAAACTGTCAGGGTGGAGTGATGTTAACTAAGCTCATATAGAATGGAAAAAACTTGAATGACCTGAAGACTCAATAAATAAGTCCTCCTGGCAGTGCATTACTTTTTATTATTTTTTTGAGGTGTACAGATCAAACCTAGGACCTTGCACATGCTAGACCAGTGCTCTACCACTGAAACATACCCTCAGCTTAGTGCATTCTTTATAAGTAGGTAATGTGTGGCATCAGATTACAAGAGAAAGTATGGAATGATGAGAATCAGAAAGTTATTCAATGCAAAGGTTCTAAGGCATCAGACTAAGATAGGCAGAAAGAAATCTGTCACAAAAGAAGCTTATTTAGTATTAGGCCTCAAGTCCTGCATGGATATTGCCAGTTTGCCTATGTGACTTTTTTTATCCTTTGTGTTTCTGGCCAATCCCTGATGATTAACTGATTAACACACTCATCCTTTAATCATAATAAATCAGTGATCACTTATGCTTGCAAAATGAGTGCCCAAATCTCTGTTCTATTCTGTGTTGATTTTTAAGGCCGACCTAGACGGCCAACCTAGATGGCCAAATTTCCCCCAGTCTCTTTCCCTACCTCAATATTAAACCAATAATTTTTTTTAATTCGATAAAATGGATATTACAGCATATAACAGAAATTGATCATTGTTGCTATAAATCTGAGAAAAGACACACAGAATGGGAATAAAATCGTCAAAAGAACTGTCTTTTATATAGAATTGAACAACTGAGAATTAATAAAGATTAGAATGGAGTACAAAATGCTTTGTAAAGAGAATCAAGTATAAACAATCTGCTCAGGAAAAATTCTTTTTTTTAAAAAAAAGGAAAAATTCTAATTCTGGAGTTTCTACATCATAAGTTACTTTCACAGTATCAAAGGGGAATGTGCTGTTACTTGAGAAAACTTGGGCCAGGTTTGTCCTGCTTCTCTAAATCCTAACTCAAAGATCCACTTTAGATTTATTACTTCTACATCACATCGTTCCATCATTGTTTAATTTAAATCAACATGTAATTTGTTTTTAACAGTAAATACAGAGTAAAAGACATACCTGTCCTATTAAAAGGCCAGAGATAAAATCCTTTCCTTGGAGATTGATGTTTGAAAGATACTGGCCAACAGTCTCCTCTACAATGTAGGTTCTTCCCATTCTTGAGAGCTAATTCAATCTCCTAAATCACACAAAAAAATTGCATTTCTAGGCAAAAATACAATTTTCAATGTTATTAGCGTGGGGGTGTACTACAGCAAGGAAAGTGGTACTATGGTGATACTATCCCTATGCCCTGCAGTGATTGCTTACTAGACAGGGCGAAGTGCAAATGTAACTTCAGAATTCTTCTCAACTCAGTGCTGTAAGAAATAGCTACCAATCAACCAGAGTTGACATGAGAGTCAAACCTACTTCTCATACTTGCCACAAGTGAGAGAACACTAAACTGTTAGTCAACACACTTTATTTCTTACTTTAGATCTACTCCTTAGCTGTATTTGCTTGGGTAATCTATCGATGAGTCTCTGTTTCTAAAATAGGAAAGGTGAATTTCTGAATAGTTCATTAGGAAGTAGAGAAATTCAAATTCATTTACCCAATGAACATATTGTAAAACAACTATTGGCTAGAAATTATGTTGGATGGGATGTTACAAAAGTGAATAATGTTTATCGATCTTGAGCAACTCATAATAAGACATAAGATAAATAACACTACAGTAATGACATCTATACAACTTCTATTTGATGCAAGGCATTCTTCTAAGTACTTTACAAATAGTAACATTCAATGTTGACAAAACTCCCATGAGGTGGAACTATTATTATAGATGAAGAAATTAAAACAAAGGTTAAATAACTTGTCCAATTGGCAATGCTGGCAAGTGGCAAAGGTGAGGCTTACATTCAGGTAATACAGCTCTAGAATCCCCCCTGCTCTTCAATATTATGCTGAACTGAAAGAATCATACTTTGTCATTCATCTAAATCATTAGAAAGCTTAACTCCTCTTCTGTCTCTCTCAAGTTTGTGGATGGAGACCATTATTGTATACCTACTGACTTAATACTCTTTTGGTTTGAATTTCAGTAGATTAAAACTACTGAAATAAAAGAGCTAGGCCACAACGTATGATGACATAAAAAAGGCTCAAATTCAGTGTGGAAAACAAAAATGTAAAGAGAATGATATATTTAAAAAAAAAAAAGGTATAAAAAAGGCTGAGTGCAATGATTCATACCTGAAATCCCAGCCACTTAGGAGGCAAAAAGTTAAGTGAGAGCTCATTTCAACCAATAGCTGGGTGTGGTGCATGAGTGTCAACCCACTTTGATAAGAATCATAAATAGGAGGATTATGGTCCAGGCCGTCCTGGGCAAAACTGCAGACCCTATTTGAAAAGCAACTAAAACCAAAAGGGGTAAGATGTGTCTCAAATGGTAAAGTGCCTGCTTAGAAGGCCTGAGGCTCTGAGTTCAAACCCCAGTGCCACTTAAAAAAAAACAAAACAACTGTAAAATAGAAAAAAAGACTGTGGGAAGACAGTTGTATTTTGATTATTGCAAGTTAGAGACAAGAGTCATTCAGGTTCTGTAAAAAAAAGTTTGAGTCTTATTCTGTCAAGAATAAACTCTTAAGGCTACTAAAGACATGTTGGGCACTATATCTGACACCAATAGACTACAAAGCCAGTCACCAAATGATTTCTTTATTACTCTAAAACTAAAACCCCACAATGGATTCATACTTGAAATAGCCTACTATTGCCTTACTATTTCAAAGAACCTCAACAGTTTTTTTGTCTCAAAATGAGTAAGCTTTCTTCCTAGTTCCTTCTGACCACAGTACATGTGAGTCAGACTTGCATACCTGATTTCTAAAACTGCCTAAGTCATTAATGCTCTACAAAGGGCTTTCACCTCTTGCAACAGGAAAATGAACATCTACTAGTCTATGAAATTTGGTTGAATGCCAGATATTTTTAGTATTCTTTAAAAAATTTTAAAACTAGGCAACAAAAGTTAATTTTAACAAGCACTACAGAAATTATATACCTTTATTTATATTGTTTTGACTTGATATTAATTCTGATAGAGTAATAATGTCACCATTTTGTGAATCAACCAAAATGGCAGCCCTGCCCCTTAACAGAAATTCCCGTGCTCTAAGACAGCCCCACTCCTACTAGAGACTACCTCGCATGCATTAACTTCCTTAACCTCCCCCACTATAAAAGCCACACCTCACCCAGAGTCTGGGCTGAGCCATCTTTCCCCAGCCAGCCTGGCAGTTTGGGCCTGCCATTAAACTTTCCTCTTGGATGTGAGACTTTTCTCGTGAGCTTTCTTTGTGAGCGGCGTTTTTCCTAACATTTTGGTGTCATGACTCAGATTGGGTGTGCTCCCAGCCCTGACCTTGCTCTCCCCGCCTCCTCCACCTCATCCCGCTCTCTCTCTCTCTCTCAACTCCCATTCCCTTCCTCCGGGATCTGAGCTGCTTTGCAGGAACCCCCAATCCTAGAAAACACCACTCTCTCACAGCTCACAGGGAATTTCCTTCACCCCAGCGCGCCTCCAACTGCCATCAACCACAAGCCAATCTTCCCTCAAGGTCCTCTCTCGGTGAGTCCTCACACACAGAGCCGTGATCTCTCTCTCATTTCCTCAAAATCCTAGCACTAGGTCTCGGCTCGCTCCCATCCCTGGGAACTGGGTTCCCCACTAGGGACTGTGGACCCCTGTGGTGAAGACGTTCCCTCTGGGTGCTCCACAACACTCTCTCTCTCTCTCTCTCTCTCTCCTCTGAGGACCTGATATTTCAGGGACACACACCATATCTCTCCTCAGGTCAGGCCTCACCATGGGAGTTGGACCACCCACTTCAGACTCCCCATTGGGATGTCTCCCGGCCAACCTTGGGCCCCTATGCCTCACGCCTGATTTTAACCCATGAAAGCTCATTTTTCTCTGTAATCAGGCATGGCCCCAATATCCATTAGACAATGTTTCCAAATGGCCACTTAATGGCACTTTCAATCCCAATATTTTAAGGGATTTATACAATTTCTGTGAGTGTGCTGGTAAGTGGAAGGAACTTCCTGATGCCCAATCCTTTTCCTATGTCTGCACCAAACCCTCCCTCTGTACTTCCTGTTCCCCTACGCAGGATCTATTAGCCTCTAAATAAACCAAATCCTCTCTCAAACCTCCTCCTTCCCTGTGTAAGCAGACATCTTGTGCTGCTCATGCTGCTTATCTCTTCCTATCTTCCTGAGGGACTTTCCCATCATGGTGTTAAACCAGCCACTCCTTGCTAACTCTGGCCTCAAGGTGATTCCAGCTCTGGGAGAGCTCATGCTCCCTTCCTGTGGAGACCAAGCCTGCGGCTTATTCAGGTATGCCTCATACTATATTGGGTGAGTCCTGTTTGATTATGGCATCTGATGACTGCTTCTCTTTTCCCCCCGTCTAATACCCCCTTTTTCCTGAGACAGTGATTGGAGAGTGGAGGTTTCATGTTGCTGAAAGTGTTCCAGTACCAGTCAATGGGAGTGACCTAGAGGCACAGGTGATGGGTAATCCCTCACGCATGTGTCATGCCTCCATGCTCTGCCTTCCTCTCCCTTACCTAAGATGTCAGGACACCTTTTCTGCTTCCTCCATGGTCTCACCATGTGTCCTCTGTCTCTGTCTGCCTTCCCTTCCCTGGGCTTACTGGGACCCTGCCTCCCATGAAAAACTTGTAGCATGGTACCTTATGACTTAAGTTCTTCCAACTAGTTTGCCAGGCCTCTCAGTCTAAAGTAACTTTAAGTCAGCTGCTAGGTAAAGGCACTTACAAAAAAAAAAAAAAAAAACCACAGCTGCTACGCTAATGCCCTAACTCTGCCCCAACAAGGGGAGGAGGGAAAGCAAATAGGTGTGCTTGCACACAGCAGGAACACCTGCCACAGCTAAGAGAAACCATAGTCAAACCAAACACACATCCTAGGCCGCCAGTTGCACTTCCACTAGAATAAAACGTGGGCAGAGTACACAAGAAGGGGGGAAGGGCAACAGGATCAGGCCTAGACAGTCAGGCTCGCTTGTCCCGGGTATGTGAGGAGAGGGTCAGTGCCTTGCGCACGCCCTGCTCCTAGCCCCACCTCACACCTCGGGGCACTGAACTCAGCCCTTGTAAGCCAATTAATTGTTAGCTCAAGGTTCTAGTCCCAGAAATCACAAAATGGACAGTATGGTACTGTTATTGGCCCGGGATGCCCTCTGAATGCCCTTCTCTAAGTTTACAGATGATTTATTCCTTTGTTAAAAAAGTAGCCTTTATTAAAGAGGCTGCCAGCTGTTAACTAAAAGACAGGATCCTAGGATTCTGTTCTTTCTGGATGGGACCTGCACCTTCCAGTCTTCTGGCTTGTAGATGTTGGAAGCTTTGTACTGAGGCCTGGCCTCAGTATGCCTGGGTGACCAAGAGAAATGGCCTTCACAGGGTTCCTTAAATTACAGTACCATACTCCAATTAGACCTTTTCTATAAAAGGAAAAAAGGTAAACTGAGGTCCCCTATACAAATTTCTACCTTCTAAGCCACTCTAATATTCAGAACCTCCTAATGGGTGCTTCCCCCTTCAACAGGTAATGGTAGGAAGAGGGCGAGCCTATGTCCCCTTCCAGCTATCAGATCTAAGAGAAATTAAAAAACATCTGAGAAGCTATACTAATGCCCATACAAATACATTCAAGCCTTTATCTCTGTTATCCAAACCTTTCAACTGACATGAAAGAATATTATGCTTCTACTAGACCAGACTCTTGTCTCATTAGAAAAGCAATGGGTTCTGGCCCAGGTCATTCAGGCTGGAAATGATTACCATTTACAATGAGCCCCAATACTATGGCACCTGGAAATGAGGGAATAAATGTGCCTACCTACAGAGACACAGGCAGTCCCCTTGACAGATCCACACCAAAAGGGGCTGATGATATGGCTCAAGCAGTAGAGTGCTGCTTTGCAGGCATAAAGTCCTGAGTTCAAGCCCAGTACAGCCAAAGAAAAGAGAAAAAAAGATATTTGGGGCTGAGGAAGTAGGTCAATGGGAGAATGTCTGCCCAGCATGTGCAAAGCCCTGGGTTCAATTCCCCAGCATTGCTAAATTAAAAAAAAATGTTAAAAAAGATAACTGGCATTAATGTCACTTCAGCCATCTCATAGTGAAAGAAAGTAGTTTAACCCAGACCAGATCCCTCATTCTTCAGGTGAGGAACTGAGGCCCAGAATGGTTCAGAGACCTGCTCTCCAGAGTATCAGCTGTCAGTGTGAAATAACAACTTTTCTTTACAGCAACACTCTGAAGAAAATCCCCTTATCTTTCTGCAGCATCTTAAGGATGCTATCAAAAAGCATACCACAGTGGACCCAGAGTCACAGGTGAGAGAGGTTCTCCTCAAAGATAAATTTCTGACACAGTCAGCCCCAGATATTTGTAAAAAACTCAAAGTCTGTGGCTGAAGAAGAAAAGTCACTGAACCAAGTAATACAGCTAGTAATGTCTGTATTTATACCTATGTCTGTATGTCCAGGATCTTACTAATAAGAGAGAAAAAGATAAGAGACACCATGGCCTCATTGCTGCTCTCAGAGAGAGCACCACCTGACTGGGGCCTGCAACCTAAACTTGCTACCATGGTGGACAGGAGGGGCACTTCTGCACAGGATGCTCAAAAGGGGGGAAAGCATGGGAGACAGCCCTGCCCCCAACCGGGACCCTGACCTTTCTGCGAAGGTAACCACTGGAGGTCTAAGTACCCCCACCTCCAGATGGAAGGCAAGGTGCCACCTCCTATGGATTGACGGGTCCTGGCCCCCTGTCCACATTCCAGTTCTTGGTATCAATGGTGAGGAGCCTTGGGTAGCCATGATGGCAGAAAAACAAAAGATCATTTTCCAGCTAGACAGTGGAGCTCATTTCTCTATTTTACCTTTCTCTCCAGGTCCCCGGTCCAAATGACAAAAGTTATCGTTAGGGGCAAATCTGGCCAGCCTCTAAAGTGCTAATCTACCTGGCCTCTGGCCTGATCTTGGGGAGACCTCCTCTTCTGTCACTCTTTCCTCATAGTTTCTGAAACTCCAGTGACTCTGCTAGGATGGGATTTACTATCTCAACTAAAAATTCAAATTCTCCTCCCTCCAGGCAGTTATCTCTGCTGCCCCCTCCTTCAGGAACAAATAGATTCCACAGTGTAGACTGATGAAATGCGTGTAGGGCGAGCTAGGAAGGCCCTCCCTATTCAAATAAAACTCAAAAATCCCTCACAGTTTCTACACCCAAAACAATATCCCCTCAAGCTTGAGGGATGATGAGGCCTTATGTCTATCATAAATTCCTTAAAACAACAAGGGCTACTAATTAGTTGCTTCAGCCCCTACAATAAGTCTAAAATTCTTATAAAAGTTAAGTTTAAAATACAAGTTACAAAGTAAACAATTGGAAAGGATATAGATAGGTAGTGAATGTATTTTTTAAGAAGTTAAAGGAAAAAGGAATGTTTTTTGGATGAGAAAGGATTTTGTAAAGAAGGGTTTGTCCTAAAGATTGTTTTAAATAGGAGGGCTTAAGACAAGCCATCAAAGCGTTTAGTATGTTATACAAAGGTCTGAGTAAGTTTCAGAAGTGTATAATAAAAAGCTTTGGTGTGTGATAAAATTAAAGATGACTATAATCTAATAGTTGCCTAAAAGATTTTTAGGGTCATGTCAAACTAAAATCAAATTCTCTATGTCTATCAAATAACAAGGTTATCTCAATATTGTTCTGCTCTGAGTAACATCTACAAAAAAACATTACAGAGAAAGATTTTATCAAAGAAATTATTTGTGTTTTCTGCTGATCTTGTCAAGCTTTAAGTACTACTAAATCAAAGTTCATTTACATATTTGCTTATGTGTCTTAAATGACCACCTTGTAACAGTGTCGTGTCTATACTTTATCTAAATATGGTACAAACATTTACAAAGTTATATAAAAATGAGGTAGAGCTCTCTTTTATCCAAGAGTGTTACATTTAAATCCTGACAGCCCCTGCCTCCCACAGGTCACCTACCTAGGTGTGGCCTTAAAGGGACAGACTCACTCCCTGAGTCATGAGTGCATCAACCCAATCTTTCTTTTTTCCCTCTCCCTCATACCATAAGGCAGCTTAGAGCTTTCTTGGGAGTTACAGGATTTTGCAGAATCTATATCCCTAGATATGCAGTCCTTTAGCAGACACCTTCTATGCTCCTTCTAATAAACTTGCCTCCAACAGACTCTGCTCCTCTGGCTGACTACCTACCTTACCTTAACCTTCTCAGGGAAATTCTCAGAGCGCATGCAGAGCAGATCCTGCCCACCCTATAACAAAGGGATCTTGTTCTCCTAAAGGATCTTCTACCGTCTCCATTGGGACTTTGATGGACCAGCCCTCATCTGGTCATTCTCACAACACCCACTGCTGTCAAGCTCAATGGAATCCCCCAGTGGCGGCACCTCTCAAGAAACAGAAAAATGGAGAAGGGAGTTGGAAGACTCTTGGAATCCTCTAGGGAACAACATTTCACAGTGGTTCTCTTGGCCAATGCCCATCCTAATGCTTATGTTTCTTGGTCTCCCATTCTTAAGCTTCCTCCCTTATATCATAACCAGTTGTACCTCCAGGGATATCAACCTCTCCAAAACTGTCCATAGGACTACTGTGAGGGCCCCTACCAGGACGTCACAGGAGTCTGAGGATCTCGCCCCATACAACATCCCCTGCCAGCAGGAAGCAGTTAAGAGGCCGACACTTCACCCCAATTCCCGATCCTCAGCCCCTACCTTCATCATTACTAAAGAAAAAATGGGGGAATGATAGAATAATAATGTCCCCACTTTGTGAACCAGCCAAAATGGCAGCCCCGCCCCTTAACAGAAATTCCCGCACTCTAAGACAGCCCCACCCCTACCAGAGACTACCTCACATGTGCTAACTTCCTTAACCTCCCTCTTCTATAAAAGCAACGCCTTGCCCACAGTCTGGGCTGTGCCATCTTTCCCCAGCCAGCCTGGCAATTTGAGCCCGCCATTAAACTTTGCTCTTGGATGTGAGACTTTTCTCGTGAGCTTTCTTTGTGAGCGGCAGTTTTCCTAACAAATTCAACTTCCCTGGCCTCTGGTTTCCTAATACAAAGAGAATTTGGATCCCCGCAGACCTGAAAACTTACTTAATTTTAGGATTCTGAGTACAGAAAGTACAGAATAACTGCACTTTCCAAATGGTAACTAACTCAACAGTGTAATACTGTTAGGAATGCAGTACAGTACTTCACATTCCAGTAACTTTAATAAAAGTGTTTCGATATAAAACTTTTGGGGAAGAAAATAAACCTTAAGCTCCATACTGATATAGTTTACCTTATCACAAAATATCATGAATGGGATGCTTTTGGGTATAATTCTTAGATGTCTTCACAAGGGATTCAAAAGTAGAAATTACAGAATAGAGAATAAGTTTCATGTGAGAACTAAGTAACCAATTGACAGAAGACCTGTGACTGGATCTGCAGGGAGGGTGACATTTGTCAATCAATAATTAATAAATCCTTTCAGAGGACTATTAAACACGAAACTAAAGATTCAGCTGGAAATTATGATGTAGAAATAAACAAGACGTTCTGTGATGATGGGAGGGTGACATATAGCTTTTAAGAATGTGTTTATAAACTTGTTACAGAGGTTTTCATTTTTAAACATCAACCTTTTCTGCAATGTCACCATAAAACATAAACTGCCTTCAAATTCCACCTGTTATCTTTTTTACCCTCTTCCTAAACATTAAGGGAGCTTCTTAACTTCCTGCTGAATCACTCAGCACCTCTCCCCCAAAAGCATCCAGGTGCCAGGTTCCCCCTAAGGGAAGTCCGTCAGACCTGGACTTGAGAGTGCCAGACTGACCGTCCATCTGCTTCCCACACCAGATCCTTTGTTTTCCCCCCGTTAGGAAGGAATCACGCAGGAAACCTAGACATAAACTTAGGCTGGCTCACCTGTTCTCAGAACGCGGACGTGTGCTCCTTCCTTACCAGAAGGGGGCTGGGGTGCTAGTGCCAGCCTGTAAGGGCCAAGCGCCCCTCTGGTCTTAAGTTCCGCAGCCAATGAACTCATCAGCAAGCGACGGCTTCTTAAGCCTCACTTCCCACTCCAAACCCAGGGTCTCGGGCGTCAGGTGACGCACACTGATGACGCACGCAGACCTCCCCACCCCTTCACTGCAGAGCTCCAGCCCAAGCGACTTTGGTCGCCACCCCGCCCCCTTCCGGCGCCTTCGAAAGCGTGGCGGTATCCTGGAGCTTGCCGTCCAGCCTCGCTGAGACCGATGCCCTCTAGTGGCTCAATATCTAGGAACCGCCAAAGAGGACGACCCATGGCATCCCGGGGTTTTGACGGTAAGATCTTCAGGGAGGGACATGGGTTGATGAGCACGTATGTGGCGCCACCACGCGGACAGTGTTCTTGCAGCCGAGCGAGGAGAGCCCCGGGGGTGGGGAAACGAGGAAGCGGAATGGGCTTCAGGGGGTTGAAAACACGGAAGGGGAGGAGAAAAACACTACGTTTCCCAGAGGCCTGCGAGGCTTGCAGCCGGTGCAACCTGGTGCCGGAAATTGGTGTGCACGGCCAGGTCAGAGGCCGCCTCTGAACTCGGATTCCCAGCGTGCATAGCATCCGGAAGCTGCGCGCGCACCTTGGGCGCGGGCGTTGTGGCGCATCTAGTGTTGCAGCTTAACGCAAGACTCGATTTGCCAGGGTCCCGCCGCGGGAGTGTCCGGCGGGCAGTCGCGCGGGAGCCACCGAGCGAAGCTTCCGAGGCCGCGGCCCAGGCTTCGGGCGCTTGGCTTTCGCCTTTGTTCTTCGCTTCTACTCCGTCGGCCGCCGCCGCCGCGGTCCCTGGCCCTAACGACATGGCGGCAGTGTTGCAGCAGGTCCTGGAACGAACAGAGCTGAACAAGCTGCCTAAATTGGTCCAGAACAAACTTGAAAAGTTCCTTGCTGATCAGCAATCGGAGATCGATGGCCTCAAAGGACGGCATGAGAAGTTCAAGGTGGAGAGCGGTGAGTGCTGAGCGGTGCGCGCGTCCCGCCCGGGTTCCCGGTGCAAGCTCGCCCTCCGCCCGCGACCTTGGCTGCCAGCATCTCCCAGGGCCTGCTCTGCCCTGCTGCTCCCATGCTCTGATAAGAAGGGGCCTTTCTTCTTCCTTCAAACCCGGCTCTGTTTCTATTCCGTCTTCTTTGTAGATCTCTTTAACCTTGTCCAACACGCAGAAGTTGTGAATTATGTGGGTCTTTTTACACCAGACTTCACAGCGTCTGCGACCCCTCTCCAAGTCAGATCCAAGAACCTGATGTTTTGTGGCCCTCTAAATGACAGTAATTCCCGCTATTTTCTAGGTACCTGAAGTCACAGGCCTTGCCTAGTTGACCATTTCGTGCAACTGTCTTAGACATGTGTCACCTCGTGATCCCACACGAAGGAGATGCTCACGAAAATGAGTTCAAATGCAAAAGGCAGCACTAGAAACGCAGAGAATTTACAGTGAATAAGTTTGATACATCGTATTTCTCCCTAAAAATTGGAGTTTCACAGAAAACATTAAGTTCTGCTTGTAATTATGTATAGTAGTTCTTTAAATAAGAAACTTACCTACCTTAGTAGCTTGAACGTCCTTGAAAAAAAAATTTAAGAAGTAGTGGTTAACATTAGTAAAATAAAAATTGCCTGTTGTGTGTTTTGGTTGCTGTTTGTTTGGAAAAATTGGCACTATTTTTGCTTGATTGACTGGAAATTACTGTCTGAATAAATTTTCAATGTAATTATCAAGCAGAATTGGTATTGAAATTAGACAGTTCTCTGAATCCTGGAGCTGAATATAGTAAATGCATTCTGTTTACACACTAAGCATTGAGTGTTTTTTCTGTCCTGATCCTGAGCTGAAGCAGACAGACCCAGTCTCTTCTCTCTGGAAATTTCACATTTGTTTTTACAGAAATCTGCTAATCTTGCTTTCAGGTAGTCTTACACCAGCAAAGCAGTTTTTAACTAAATAATTTTTCTCCATTTAATATTTTTATTTTCAAAATTCAGCCTTATGCTAAGCATTCTGTTGGTGTCTGCCTAGTATCTGTAAAATCACATTTAAACATTTTCTTTTTTCATGTGAATCAGTTGAAATGTTAAATAAATTCATTTCAGTGCACAGTCTATCTTAGAGTCTCCTTTTTGGAGTACAGTTGCAATACTGTATCTTGAACTGTAGAATCAAGGGTATTAGTAATAAATAGCTGTATTAACAGACATGTTTGATTTTCTTATGATGGTTTTGACTTGTCTTCTACAGAACAACAGTACTTTGAGATAGAGAAGAGGTTATCCCACAGTCAGGAGAGACTTGTGAATGAAACCCGGGAGTGCCAAAACTTGAGGCTTGAGCTTGAGAAACTCAGTAAGTATTTAACTTTAACTTTGCAATTATTCTTGGCTCTTCAGGTACTTTTTTTGTATTCTTTGGAAACATTTACTTACTGTACTTGCAAATATTGAGTAAGCATCATTTTTTTTATTGTGATATTTTGATTTGTTACTTAGTCGTAAAGATTTTGTAGGACCACAGGGTTTAATTAATCAGGAGTCCTGGGTTCTGATTCTGGCTTTAGACTTTACTTTTAATAGTAGTTTTGCAATATGTAAGTAAAAACATTGGGGTTTTTTTGGTTTTGTTTTGTTTTTAATGGCTACATCCACACGTGCATCTACTTATACAGCTTTACATATCAAGTGAGATATTCCTGATAGTTTTGGAAAAGCTAAAACATTCAGTGAATTAAAGAGAGATTTATTTGTTTGTTTGGTTTTTTTTTATTCATATGTGCATACAAGGCTTGGGTCATTTCTCCCCCCTGCCCCCAGCCCCTCCCTTACCACCCACTCTGCCCCCTCAATACCCAGCAGAAACTATTTTGCCCTTATTTCTAATTTTGTTGTAGAAAGAGTATAAGCAATAATAGGAAGGAACAAGGGTTTTTGCTGGTTGAGATAAGGATAGCTATACAGGGAGTTGACTCACATTCATTTCCTGTGCATGTGCGTTACCTTCTAGGTTAATTCTTTTTGATCTAACCTTTTCTCTAGTTTCTGGTCCCCTTTTCCTATTGGCCTCAGTTGCTTTTAAGGTATCTGCTTTAGTTTCTCTGCATTGAGGGCAACAAATGCTAGCTAATTTTTTAGGTGTCTTACCTATCCTCACCCCTCCCTTGTGTCCTCTCGTTTTTATAAAACTTAAAGCCTATTGATGCCATTGTATTCTGTTAGAATTTTTATAAATACCTGTTAATCTCAGAATGTTCCTCCTTCAGACTTAGTTCCTGTGAAAGATGAATGGCTAATTTTCTTACATCGTTAGATCCTATGCCATGCAGATGATTTAAACATTATGACACATGCTTTGCTTATTATAGAAGAAAGCAAATGTCAGGAAAGATCTTTAGCTGAGTAAAGGCATAATTAATTGCTTTTAAATACAGCTTGTTTTGGATTTGATGTAAGGGCTGGGGGCATGGCTCAAGTGGTAGAACATCTGCATAGCAAAAGCAAGTCTCTAAGTTCAAACCCCAGTACTGCCTCTACCCCCCCCCCAAAAAAGAGTCAGTGTGATTTGATGGAGAAGGAACACAGGAAACTCATAATCAAGGGAATTAATAAAATTCAACTTTCAACAAATCTGTGTCCATTGACTCTTTGTGTGGGTTATAATTTCCAGCTGCTTTTGACGCACCACTTTTAAAATGTAATGTTTATGATGGTGTATATATGCATGTGATGAGGCATAAATCGGTATGGACGTGGAGCAGGTGCCTTCCTGGGGTGTGCAGTCACGTTTGTGTTTATATGTCTAATATCATGTGGAAAGCAGTAAATAACTTTAAAATGAAGAAAGTCAGGATTTTTTTTCTTTTATAATAATCCTGCTAAATCACCAATACATGCTGAACTGTCTGTGTTTTATCGGAGGAAAGTTTCAAAAGGTGTATTTTTCCTAATTATCTGCATATGTTTAGAAGAGAAAGTGTATGTCAGGGAGGATAACCCATTATGAGTGGGGACTGAAGATTAATAATTGAATACCAAGCATAATATTTTTCTTCCATGTTATAGTTTCTGTTTAGGGCGAAAAACAAGTGTAGCGTTGCAAGTATTTATTGTTATGATTTGCTATGTATGTATTTTATGTATTTCCTATATGCTCTCTCATTTATTTTTGTGGAGCTGGGGATTGAACGGAGAGCCTTGTGCTTGTTAGGCAAGCATTTTATCATTGGAGCCACCTCATCAACCCTGTGTTTGCTTTCTTGATCCTGTCCTTTTTTTATAACTTGATTTTCTCATTTCTAAATAAAATTCACTGTTTATGATAGATCTCGATTTAAAAGATGTCATTAGAAAATAAGGAAATTACTAATTGCATATACTTTTGCTACAGATGTTGAATAGAATTATTTATTGCACATTTGCTTTTGGACACAGGATAGCATATTTAAAATTTGGTTCAGATACAGTAAAATGCAATTGTTTTCACAATTTTGGAGTGTGATTCCAACCCAGTCTTTCTTGGTTTCACTTTCTTCATTTAAAAAATGTGTAAGGGTGGCAGTTGGATAAAAACATTCATTGCAAGTTTCAAGCTAATATATGCATATTTGTAAAATTCTGTTTAGACAGTCAACTGAAGGCACTAACTGAGAAAAACAAAGAACTTGAAATTGCTCAGGATCGCAACGTTGCCATTCAGGTAAAATTTATTCCTGTGAATAAAGCTAATTATAAATATGACATTGTCTGTTCTGATTAGGTTTGGTGAGTGGGAAGAAGAAGCAGAAGTCCCATTAGGAGGAACTACAAAAGATGGGTATATACAGATTTGTATATACAGTTTTCCTGATTGGATCATTGCATGCTTTATTAATAGGTTGGACACTCTTTTTACTCAGTGGAAATTATCTGTTGAATGCCTGCTGTAATTCAGGCATTATTCCAAATGTTTTGATGCAATCAAGACATTGGGTGAATTCGCATTGGTGACAGTTTGCTTCAAGCAGTGATGTAAGAAGGA